CAAAGGCAGAACTTGAGATAATTATTCATGCTTTTATCTCTTCTTGTTTGGATTATTGTAAAGGTCTTTTTACGTGTCTCAACAAATCAGCTCTGGATCGCCTTCAGTCTGTACAGAATGCAGCGGCAAGACTTTTAACTGGTACAAACAAGAGGTCACACATTACTCCAGTTTTGGCTTCTCTTCATTGGTTGCCTGTAAATTTTAGGGTTCATTTTAAAATTTTAGTTGTGACTTTTAGAGCTCTACACGGTGAAGCTCCCCAGTATATCTCTGACCTGTTGAAACCTCATGCTTCATCCCGAGCACTTAGGTCTTCAAGTCAGAGGCTACTAATGGTCCCACGTACTAGGTTTAAAACACGTGGGGATCTGGCTTTTCAGACACTGGCACCTAGGCTGTGGAACTCTCTGCCGTTGTCTTTACGCTATCTAGACTCTACTGACTCCTTTAAAAAGCAGCTGAAGACATTTTCATACAAATGGGCTTTTAATTAATTTTAACTTGTATGTCTGATCTATTGTAAAGCACTTTGTGATTTTTATCTGTGAAATGTGCTATATAAATAAATTTTACTTACTTATTTACTTACTTGTCCAGGTGGAAGAGGGCAGTATGCAGAGCCAGTGCTATGGCAATATGTCTGGATCTATTTGGTCAACTGAAAAGGATCGAGTGTACCAATGTATGCAAACAAACAAGAATGTGATGCAGCTTCTAAGGACAATGGATAAGTATAAACATTGGAAAGAAGAACTCATCAGTTGGTACGTTGAAGTTTCGGTTTCTTTTAGTGTCTCTTCAGATCATCTTTTCATCTGTGTAAGCAAGTGGCTGTAAAGGAACCCAGACTTTGCTTGCTCAAAACTCAGATTCTACCAAGGTAAGAATAAAAAAAAAATTATGAAGAAATTCATTCGTATGCATATATTTGAGAATCAGGATACTTTATTAATCCCTAAGGGAATTATGTAACTCGGTGCCATCATGTGTGTGTAAAGCTCTTTTTAGATATTAAAAAGGCTGAATGATTGAATTCCACTGAAGATATTTAGATATTTAGTAAACATGGCTATACTAAAAAGTGTGGGTGGCAATATATGCTGCAGGATTACTTTTCATACCTGCTGAAATAAAGTGTAAAGAATGCAGTTTAGCACAGACTGTAAGTAGAAAAAGACCAAGACCCCCCATGCTTAATAACTGCAGAGATAAAAGAGCATCATATTTTACCTACGAGAGTGGACGAAATTATCTAAATTGTTGCTGTATGACAATAAAAAGTGAAAATGTCTTTTTTTTTTCTTTTTTTTTGCCTGTCCCGTTTGGCTCTTTTGCCATCAGAATTGTTGTCTAAAGGCAAAGAAAGATGCCCAACGGATTTACTTTACCAAATTGACCATCCCAGCCTTGCCGTAACGATCCATTTGATTCACCTTTTATTGTTTATTTTATTTTCACTTGCTGAATACGGGACAGACTTGACTGGGGGAAAGAAGGGGAGAAAGAAAGAGGGAATGAAACAGCTGAGAAGAGGGACGGGGGAGAAGGGCAAAAAACAAAAACCAACAGAACGGGCAGAGGAAAAAAAAATGCATATATCAATCACCTGGATCACCTGTTGAGAAAGAAAAAAGAAAACAAGCAGAAGAGAACAAGAGTAATAGAATAAACAGCATCACAATGATATATGGGAATATGACAGTAAATACTAAATATTAAACATTATTGTGCAGCACATAAGATCAACAGAACACAGTGTGCTTTGAGGTAGGAGCCAAAAAGGGTGTAGTTTGTGGCTGTGAGCACCCGTGTGTACACCTGTGAGCATGGACGCGCTTGTTTTTTTAAAAGGTTCCTTCATGTAATGATCTGCTAGAGGGTGTGGGGGAGCCACTGCCCCGTCCTCCAGGGCATGAAGCAGGTATGGAGGAGATCAAAACTCCAGACATCCAGAGGCCCCCAGAACACAAGAGACCAAGGAAGACCAACAGAGGGGCAGCCGCGCCACTGTCCCAGAAAGAGCTGAGGAGAGTCCCAGATGAGGGCTCACTCAGCAGCCGCGGAGCAGAAGCCAGGGGGGTTGCAGTGACGCGCCCGTGAGCTCCGCCGGCAGCCAGCTGTGCCTGAGTGACCGAGCCCCAGGCCGAGAGGCCGGGGGCACCCCACCTCCGAAGTGGCCCGAGCGAGCCCCAGGCTCCAGGCCCCGATAAGCGGCCGCCAAGGAGTGAGCCGGTGTGTACCTGGACGTCCATCCCCAGACACAAAGAACCACCAACGCACCGATGTCTGAGGGGGTCCGCCACTGGCAGGGGAAGTGGTGGTGGGTGGAGATAGGCCTCCAAACCTTGGAGGGCCTGAGATGTCCCCAGAGAGGTGGCGTCTGATACCCAACCTGACATATAGACACAGACATACAGGCACACACAGATACAAACATCCATTCCTCATGCTCTCATATGCACTTACTCCACACTCAACCAACGTGGAGACAGACATAAAGAGACGCTGTACACACGATCACACTCCCCAAGCGTACTCTACGAACCGGGTCTAGGTACCCTTGCCCCTGGAGGGGGGGAACTGCACCCAGGATGGCATGGAGCTACCTGCCAGAGAGCAGCAAGTAAGCGCATGGTCCCTCCTGCTAGCCCTCAATGTCTACGTGTATTTAAAATTGAGAGGTGGGCAATGACGCCAGGGGTGAGGTGTACACCCTGATGGTCTTTTGGAATCCGTGTAGCGTGCCCACCCCCAAGATCCTATATGTATGTGTAATGAGAGTGTGAGTAATGTGAATGTCTAGGTTGTAGGATAAAATTGAGGCAGAGGCAGCCTGAAGGGGACGGGGGACGGACGGGGGGGGGGGGGGGGGTAGCCTCCTCTGCACCCTGGTGACATACCCCTACTCCAAGGCCCTGCATGTGTGGGTGGTTGTGGTGGAGCGGGAAGAGGGAGGCAGCTGGAGATGGGGAGGGAAGGAAGGGAGGGGCAAGTGTCCCCTCCTTGGGGCCAGCTCCCCCGCTGACCCCAGTAGGCACCCCCATACTCCGCGACCCGCCAGGGAAAGGGGGCCCAGGCCCATCCAGACCGGGGCCCAGTGCAGCAGCGCCGCCCGGCCCCACAGAGCCCGGGACAGTCCACCCAACCCCACCACAGAGAAAACTGCACCCACCCCACCATCCACTCATCTTCCAGACTACATAAGACAATAAACACCCAGGCTGAGATCTTCCTCCACCTCTCCTGTATCTCCCCCTCCTGCAGAGAGTTCCTGAGGAGAGGAAAGCTCCTGCAAGATGTGACAACCTCCCTCACCAGTTGAAGAGCCCCCCCAGGTGGCTCGACGCACCGGCGGCACCCTGCGCCAGGGCTGGGCCCCCATGCACCCACCCGCCCACAACCCCAGCAACACACCAACCAGGACCCAAGCCCCCGAGGCCCGGCCCAGGCCCCAGCCCAGAGACAGAGCGCCCCCAGAACCTCACGCCCATCCCGGACCCACCCAGGGGCAGCCAGGCTACCAGGTCAGTAACCCACGTCCGTCAGCACAGACCCTCCCCTAGCCCCGCTGCACGCAGCCACGAGGAAACAGTCACCTGAGAGCCAAAAGAGCCCCCAACCGGACATGACCGCTACCCCGGGTTGAGCCCCCCAAGGAAGATGCCTCCGGGGAACCCCCCGACGCCCTAAGCCTGTCCCTACCCCCACACCAATCACAACAGTGAAGGCGGGACCAAACTATGACCCCCCCCACCGCCACTAGGTGATGGAGCTGATCAAAGGAGCCCAGAGCAATTGATCTGATGTGGTTAGGATAAAATTGAGGCAGATCTAATTTAATCTAATCTAATCTAATCTAATAGAATCTAATAGATAATTTCTATATTGGTTAGAATTAAGATTATTTTTATTTTTCCAGTTCATGAGGACTGTTTTCTTGGCTATGCATAGGGCAGTGAAAACCATATGGGCTATATTCTTTTCTGTAGTGACATTATCTAAGCTGCCCAACAAACACACTAAGGGGGAAGTTGGAATGTTACATTTCAGACACTTTGATAAGTCTTCACATATCTCGCGCCAAAACTTCTGAACTGGTGGACAGAACCAAAGAGCGTGGATATAATTGCCGGTGAATTGGTTTGGCAGTGTGAGCAGTTGTTGGTAGACGTAAAGCCCATCTTGAACATCCGATGACCTGTATAGTGCACTCTATGTAATATTTTGTATTGAATTAATTGAAGACTGGGATTTCTGATTAGATGAAAGGTTTTTAAGCAAGTCTGAGACCAGAAGTTTAGGTCTAAGTTAACTGATAAATCCGCTTCCCATTTTGCAATAGGAAGTGATATTGATTCATCTGTTTTAGGAAGCATTCTGTATATTTTGGAAAGTAATTTTGGGGTTTTAAGAGTAAGAAATTGAACCACACTTGGTGGTGTTTGTAGTTCAACTTGACCCGGTTTAAATTTCTTTTTTACTATGGATTTAATTTGTTGATATTCTAAAAATCTTTTCTTGTTGATCCCATATTGTGTAACTAGTCCGTCAAATGAAATAAATTCTGTTCCTTCTAGTGTATGTTCTAAATATTTGATTCTAATTCTAATTATCTAAATTGTTGCTGCATGACAATAAAAAGTGAAAATGTCTATCTTAGTGTGCCACTTTTTACATAATTTAGCAGGTAGCACTTTTGTAACCGTCTTCTTAAACATTAATACAAAGATAACACCCATTAGTCGATACCAAAGGATACAAGTGTTACACCTTAAGAATCTACTTTCCCAACCCACCTCTCTGTGCGTGATTTTTTTTAAATGCTGTTCATTTACATGACAAAAATATTTTTTTCACTTTATTCAAGCAAGTGGAAATTTGGACAATCTAAATCTCAAGCTAAATTTGTAACACCTACAGCATATCTGAAGGTGGAGTTAGCCATGTACTTATGTAACACTTCCTTATATAAAGCTGGCTGCTCTTCAGTTGATAGCATTCAGCTATCACAGCTCCAATCACTAAGCTCTAAACATCTGCCAGAATCCATTTACCAGGTGAGTATTTTACATTTTATTTCAGTAATAATTTCTGAATCTCACAGTATTTGTGAAGGTTAACATATCTTTAAAATGTAATTCTTAAAACCCCCAGAAATCACTTATTTTTTTCTTTCTTTCTTTTTATTGCACCTAAAAGCATAATTTTGTGGTGTTTTGATTTGTTTTTTGTTTTTTGACAATGGAAGCTGTTGTTTAAAATTCTTTAACCTTGCCACAATCAGATGCAGGTCAATTGCCTGTTCATGAACATTTTTCTAAATCTTTGTGCAAGCGACTATTTTCATATATATTGTAAAATGAAGATCCCAGATATTTTAAAAGCTGATCTAATTATGATATTTGTACTGAACACTACACATTTTAATGCTGTATCTAAAACATTCTCCTGCCTCTACCATAAAACAGTTGAAGCAGTCTTTCAATCTAACCTTCATATTTAGGAAAGCTACAAAACATGTAGTTATGCTATGAGAGAAAGGTTTTGAGAGTGTGAAGAGAAAAACACTGTATTGTGTTTATTTAAAATATTTGTAGTTATCTGTGTTTTTGCCTCTTTCCCTCCATCTGACAGCTGAGATAGGCTACAGTTAGACATGTGGTCAAAAATGGATTATTATTAGAAATAATCACTCTTCAGGTTTGAATCCTGTGGTTAAACACAGGATGAAGAAGCTCATCATTGATGTGGATGCTGGGGTGGATGATGCTATTGCCATCATGATGGCCCTCTCCACACCTGATGTGGAAGTTTTGGGGATCACCTGCTGCTATGGCAACACGTCTGTGGAGAATGTCCTCAGAAATGTCCTTCGTGTCCTGAAAGTCTGCGACAGGCTGGACGTAAGTTTGTGTCACGCTGTAAGAGAGCCCTTCTACACGAATATGTTCGTAGATATGTTCTTACATCCAGCATATAATACTCATACAGATTCCAGTGTACCGTGGCTGCTCAAAGCCTTTGGTGGACCATGAAAACCATGCAGATAATTTCTTTGGATCAGACGGGTTTGGGGACGTTCCAGATCCACACGCACCAAGCCTGGATCTGGTGCAGCAGAAAAAAGCCAAACAGGCCATTATTGACCTTGTGAACGCAAATGATAAAGAGGTGAGTGTCTGCACCATTAAGCTTCTTACATGAATGAAAATTGAGAGCCTCATTTTCCTGTGATATGTGTACACTAAGAACGTTGTAGCTTACACAAGGGTTGGGTAAAAATGCTGTGTGGAGAAGTAGGTGATCTCAAAATACATGAATACATTTACCCACTTTTTATAAATGGTTTGTGGTTCTGATCAAACGTTTTATTTAAAGGCCCAGTCACAGATTATTTCAGCAGACATGCCTTGAAGTCTTCCTAAAAAAATATGTTGACATTTAGCTGAAAATTGTTGAACTCCCACAGATGAAATTGCATCACTTGACTAATAAAAACTTGTTTTACCCAGAGCTAATGATTTAATTGCTTTTTCATGGTGACCAGTAAAAATGGATGTAGACACAATGATATCATCTGTTGGTTATGGATTGCAAAGGGTACAATGCACTTGATGTGAAAGAAGCCAACTCGTTGCGAAGTATCACAAAGTTGCCAAACACACATAAAAAATCATAACTTGAAGCTTCAATGCAGTTTAAATTGGGAAGTCGTAAAAATTATCTGTCAATTTTCATCAAGTTTCAAGTGCTTAATAGACAAACTGCACCACTGGGCCAACCAAACCAGTTTAATTCTCAATTCATTCTAAACACATTTATAAATGATAATTCTTTAAAAAACTTTTCAAGGAAAATTATTATTTTACAACTGAGGGTTTGTTTTCAGCTCAAAGGTTGGTTAGGAGGCAATAAAATCATCAATTCAACTCTGTCTCCTGCCTCCAGGTGATCCTCATATCCACTGCCCCCCTCATGAACCTGGCTGCAGCAGTGCAGTTGGACCCTTCCTTGCCTAAAAAGCTTAAGGCGCTCTACATCATGGGGGGAACCATTGAAGGTGGTCTCCTCACAGAGTATTTCCTCTGTCTCTCATTATCCATTCGTGATTTTAGTCTTATAAATATCTGATATATATGAGAATGAGTGTGTGACTGTGCTTGTTTCTGTGTGCAGCCAGGGGTAACATCACAATATGTGGAGAGTTTAACTTTGTGTGTGACCCAGAGGCTGCTTACATCGTGTTGGACCGCTACACATGCCCAACCTACATCGCTACCTGGGAGTTCACCTGCTGGAACTGCCTGCCATGGGTGAGGAGGGAAACAAGCTGAACGAGGGCTTCAGTTCTGTTCCAATGAATAATGTCTGAACAGTTTTAAAGTTTGAAAGGATCTCTGCTAACACTGAGTTTGTGTATAAAGTGGTATTTGAAAATAGCTTACAGTCTTTTTTTCCCTTAGTCTTTCTGTGACACCTGGTTATCTGTACATACTGAAAAATCAGACTTTGTGGAAAAGATTTTACGCATCTCAAGACAGGTAAGAGTGTATTAATTGACACAAAGCATCAAGCATTTAAGTCTTAAGTCCTCACTTTGTACAAGAAAATAAGCTCCAGTTAGCAATGAATTTAATCCATCTTCAGTATTGTGTAAATATGCTCGCAGCCCTTTTGCTTAAATCTTGGTGCCCCACTGGTGACAACTTACAGAATATTATAAGATGTCTAATTACCTCTGACATACTGTGTGAACAGAAGTGTGAACAGAAACATCAAGAATTTAATCCCTGTGACGCCTACGCCATGGCTGCAGCCATCAATGATGCAGTCATACCTAAGAGTGAAGAGGCGAGTGACTGCAACTTTTTTTTGTCAGGTTACAATGTAAAACATCTTCGCTGAAATCATTGTTTAATGAATTATTTTGTTACTCTTTCAGGTTGCAGTGACGGTGGAGTTGCAGGGGATCTACACTCGAGGCATGATGGTGCTGGACCGCGACGAGAAGCTGAAAAAAGAACACAAAGTCTTCATCATGAAGAACGTCGACTTGGAGAAGTTCAAGGAAATGTTGATTAATGCAGTCAAAAAGAGTGATGCTGTACACTCTGAGACCTGAGTGTTATGATTCATAACAACAAATAAAAACTTTTGTGTTGCAGTCTCACAAACCATGTACAACATTCATTAAGAAACAGTTTGTCCAGATTGGTGTTGAAGAAGTTGACCAGTTCTCAACTGTGTAGTAGTAAATAAAGTTAATGCTGTGACCCAAATGTATCTGCATAAATGATCAGTATTTATTCAGGTTTAGGTATATGCATTTGCAAAATAGTTTTATGTGTGGTCAAATTACTTTGTATTTGTGTGTGGACTGAAGCGCATGCTAGTGAGTCCTCAAAAGTTACACACAAATGACTGCACACACATTTGTAAACCTTAGTTTATACTTGTGGATTATATTGTACACATTTGTCACGTTTTTGAGACATATTGCTCTCCATATGAGATGGTACTACCACCACATTACTTATATCTTTATGTACATTTACAATGTAAACACAAAATATAATAAGAGACAAAACTGCAATAAGTACAGATTTTATTTGTCTGCATACATACAAATAAACACAGCAAAATAAATTTACAGTAAATGAAAAAAGGACTAGGAGCTCATGTGACGTAAGGGGTTTTGCAAGGCCAAATTGCCCAACATCATAACCCACCAACCTTAACTCCTCATCAATGAACCCTAACCCCTAGCCCATTAAACTTAACACGTTAACAGGCCACATGTGCAAATCTGACAGGACAAAATGTCAGACTTTTGAAGCAAATGCAAGATAAAGTGACTGAAATGAACCAGGAAATGAAATTGGTACTTTTGCATTGTCTTATACATCAGGAGGTACTATGTGAGTCAGCGTTAAAAATTACCCGTGTTTTTGATGTTGTAACTAAAATAGTTAACATCATCGGAGTATGACTGCAGAATCAGAGCCAACTCCATGTACAGAATTCAATCACAGAATTGGAACAAACATTGTAATTGTTGAAGTATAACAAATCCAGACACAGATCGACTCTTGATATGATGATCACCTGTCTGCTGGCCTCCACATTTCCACTTCAGACCCTGAACCTAACTTTGAAGCACTCATATAAGTACACAACGGACTGGATTTCTGTCACTTATTTTCTTATCAGATGATCTTCTTATCTATTTGAGTGAGTGACTATCAAGGAACCAGATCTCACTTGCTCAAAGCTATAATTATTTGAGAAGTTCATTCACACACCCCTGTTCTCTGCTGGCCATCGGGGCGGGGGGACTGGGAGGAGGTGTTGGCCATTCGATTGGGATCTGGGATGCGGGGGCCTCTCTGCTGCTGCGGAACCTGTGGAGGTCCTCAGCTCATCCCAGGCGGGTGACACAGATGCCCCTCTGGTGGTCCTCCTTGGGCTCTCGCACTCTGGATGTCTGGAGCCTGGATCTCCTCCATGCCTGCTTCATGCCCTGGGGCACAGGGCTGTGGCTCTCTACATCCGCTTGCAGACCATTATATGGGGAAACCTTTTGAATACAAAAGGCTGATCCACACAGGTGTGCACACGGGTGTTCACTGTTCATAGACATAAACTACACCTCTATTGGTGCTACTCCCAAGCACATTGTGCGCTGTCGGTCCTGCTTGCTACACAACAGCATTCAATATTTAGTATTTACTGCTGTTTACACTTAGCTAGATTAACGTGATGGTGTTGTGTTTAGTATGTTGCTCTGTTTTTTTTGCTTGTTTTCTCTTCTTTCTCTCTCAACAGGTGATCCAGGAGATTTTTTTTCCTCTTCTTTCTCTTTTTAAGTGCCCATTCTCACTGCCCCTCTTCCCTTCTGTTTTTCTTTTGCTTCATCTTTATTTCTCCCTTTCCTATCCCTCAGTCATGTCTGTCCCGTCTGTAACAACTGAAAATAAAATAAAATAAATAATAACAACAAAGTCGATCAAAGGGACCAATACAGCAAGGCCATGATGATCCATTTGGCAAAGTAAATCCATTGGTATCCTTGTTGGTCTTCAGGCAACAATTCTGACGGCTAAAGAACCAAATGGGACAGGCAAAAAAAAAAAAGAATAGTTCATTTTTATGCATGGATTTTACTCTGTGGCATGAAATGTGTGAGTTAAAGCTACATAAATCTTTCTGTTTTTAGTTATTAAAAGGTTTAATGATTGAACTCCAGTGATCAGACAGTTCACTTAAACAGCACTCAGCCACCTTTTAAATTACTAAATGTGGTCCCACACTTTACAATAACACAGAGTTATTTCATTTTTGAATTAAATCATATACGTGTAAGCAAAAAGAAAGCTTTTCTTAAGTCTTCCTCAAAATCGTATGAACTAGTCTTTATGTTTGGTTACTTTCCACCAAAATCTCCTCATGCAAACATGTCAAGCAAGATGTTAGCAAACACAGGTGTATTGTCAACTGTGAGTGGCAAAATATGCTGCAGGATTACCTTTCACACCTGCTGAATCAAGTGTCAAGAATGCAGTTTGGAACAGCCTGTAATAATAATGAGTTAACATTTTCACAAACATGCTTCAGCCCTGCAGCGGTTTGTGTTGAACAACAGTTTGTAGGAACTGTCGTTGAGATGCCAACCATTGACAGACAAGTACAACCTGATCCTCAAGTTCACTCTTGCTTCTCATAAGAGTAAGAAATAGAACCCTATTACAATAGCATATTGTAGCAATAGCAGTAGCTTTTTGTTGAGTGTCCTCAGACTAAACTCCACTGCAGAGGTGAAAAAGTTACATTAAGGTTTTGGCAAATGAGGTGAACACAAACAAATTCTGTGGTGATCAAATGAAGTCTGTCTTTACGTAGGAATGAGTTCAGTGTCCAATATTTCAGCAGTTCAGCAGCCTGATGGCTTGTGAAACTTTCCCAGAATCTGCCGGTGCAGGTCCGAATGCTCCTGTACCTTCTGTGTGACAGCTGGAGCGTGAAGGATGTCTGGCCAGGATCAGAGAGGATCCTCTGGGCCTTCCTTCTAAAGCGCTGTCTGTGGACGTCTTGGATTGCTGGCAGTTCAGACATGGTGATTGTTGTGCTTCTCTGACCCCCCTCCTTAAAGCTTTGCAGACCAGAGCATTACAATTGCCATACAGGGTTACCAGACAGGCAGACAGAATACTCTCGATAGAGTGGCGTATCATGCTAATGAAAGATGCCCTAATATATTTATATACGCTCTTCAAAAATGAACTTAAAAGTTGAATGAAACAATGATATATGTAATGCAGTCTGCACCCCATGTTTTGTGTTCTTATCTTTATAATATAACCAAGTTTTTTTCTATCTAAATGAAGTGTAGTTGTTTTTCAAGTACCAAAGTGCCACAGTCCTGTTAAAACCATCAACATCTTCGTCCTTTCTGTTTTTAAACTCAGTTATTGTCAAATGCACCTGGGGAAAATCTGACAGCAGGAAGTTTGAATATTGCTGCTCCTGCATAAGATCACTGTAAACAAAGAAGAATGTACCAAAGATTTGAGGATAGTGGCCATGGATAAACATTGGCAACAACAACTTGTTAGTCGGTATGTTGAAGTTTGGGTTTCTCTGGATCTCTAATCAGATGATCTTTTTATCTGTGTAAGCGAGTGACTGCCAAGAACCGAGACCTCAGACGCTCAAAGCGCACGTTCTACCAAGATAAGAAGAAAAAAATGTAACTGCTATGGCTCAGGAACAAGTCAAAATTCAGCTGCATAAGGAGATGCTGATGTGCAGATTCCCAAACTTCGTGATGAGTCTGGATGGAATTATAATGTTGAAAGTTGAGCTGTAGTCAATAAACAGCATCCACACATGTGTTGTTATGGTCCCGGTGGGAGAGCTAGGGTTGCCAACTATCCCATTTTAGCCAGGAGGTCTTGTATGATGAGCAAAAATTGGTTCCCTTAGTCAACCTTAAATCTCTGTATATTTACACTGTATATTTACATTGTACCCAGCTGGTTGCGCATTGTGCTTCTGGCATGCCAGAGTGTCCCTTATTTGATAGTTAAAAAGTTCATTGTGAATCTATTTTGCCTGTATGAAAACTGAAAAGGATCAAGTGTAGCAGGCAGTGAAGATGTGAATAACGATAGAGATGAGTGCTACTGGGTGACAGTCATTCAGTTAACTCACATTAGGTTTCTTTGGGACAGGGATGATGGCCGTCCTCTTAAAGTATGAGAAGACTACAGACAAAAACAGGGAGAGGTTGAAGATGTCTGTGAAGACAGCTACCACTTCATGTGTACATGCTTTGAGAGCACGACCTGGGATGTTATCTGGTCGGGGAGCTTTCCGTGTGTTTACCTTTTAAAAGTATTTACACACATCTGACTGAGGGATCTGAAAAGGACAGCTGTCCTCCTCTGACAGAAATATAAGTGGACAGCAGACTGGATTTCTGTCAATTAACAAGAAAAAACCTGCAGATAAAATAATTAAACTAAAAGCAAAATGGCAATGTCACTTTACAAACAAGTACAAACTTTTACATCAACAGTTCATCTGTTGGTATATCTGTGTTGAAGTTTCAGTTTCTCGGGATGTCTTATCAAATAATCTTCGTATCTGTTTGACTGAGTGACTGTCAAAGAACCAGATGTCACTTTCTTAAAGCTCAAATTATGTGTGAAGTTCACTTTTATGCATGGATTTTACTCTGTGGCATGAAATGTGTAAATTAAAGCTACATAAATCTTTCTGTTTTTAGTTATTAGAAGGTTTAATGATTGAACTCCAGTGAGCAGACTGTTCACTTAAACAGCACTCAGCCATCTTTTAAATTAATAAATCTGATCCCACACTTTACAATGACACCAAGTTATTTCATCTTTAAATAAATCATATACGTGTAAGCAAACAATAAAAAGGGAAAGTGTTCCTCAAAACTGTTTTTTTATGTCCAGCCAAAATCTCCTCATGCAAACATGTAAAAACTCAGGTTCTGGTGGAGCAGTCGCTTGCTTTATAATGGCGAAAAAAATAACATTAAATTTAAAAATAAAATTAAAAAATACTTAAAAAGCTTTTCTGAAATATAATCCAATTAGCTGACTTCTTAAAAAACACATAATGTCCTAGCAGAAAATTATCAATGTATTTTCCTTTTTTAATTCATTCATTCATTTGCTTATATTTACACTGTACCGTGGCAGCAAGATGTTAGCAAACACAGGTGTATTGTCAAGTGTGA